CATTTGCCATCTTTCAAACATTGGTACCCATGCAGTTACTGACTTCGAAAGTAGGGGGCAATTGTTCAAGTCCATGTACCGATTTAAAATTTGGAGTGCTATCGGCATATGTTTCCCAAGAATATAACACTGTTTATTCAAAGTCACCTCTGCACTATGACAGGTAAACTATCATCTTGTATGAAATACTCTATTGAGTATACCAACTAAGCCTTCACCAGTAAAGAGTTTAGACTTTCCAGTTACAAGTAGCAATGGCCTTGCCTTGGGCATAGTTAGGGGACCATCTGGAAAAGAAAGTGAAACTCTTGTGTTGACCTCCAACACTACCAAGAAAATGCCACAACAAAGTCCTTATCACCTTGAATATAACAGTTAAATCCAAACTACACTCCCTCTAGTCAGTTTAGTTACACACCCTCAAGTGTACCGAGATTCCTCTTTGCCTGGTTGTACAACTGCAACACAGTTTACATGTGTGTCATCTCATTATGGCAGCGTATCTACCCCTCGTTTTGGTGGAGAAATTCATCATGTGTATCAGTTCCCTGACAGGGACTACAAGAGTGCCTTTGGCATCAAATTGGACTACTAGTCGTAGTGGCAATTTACCTTGGGCTTCTCATGGGACAATATGCTCTCACATGCTCAACCACCATCTATCGCACAATGGGCTCCTGATACCCACAAGGCATCAACCCCTTTACCTGAGTGGTTTTGGCTTGTCACCTATGCGACACTCAACAAATGTTGAACAACCAGTAGATGCATTTGTTGATAGCCTCATAAAAGGTCAGGAGACCTTCTTTCTAGGATTAGAAGCTAAGATCTACTAAAGGAAAGTCAAGCATTAAACTACACTCCCTCGCCACAGGGGCAGAACTCCCATCAGAAGTTCCATTGGACAGAAACAGTTCTCTAGACCCAAGCCATGTGCTGAATTGTGCCCCTTGGCTGTGAATGCATGGCTCCCTACTGAGGCCCAGAGAAAACACAATAGTTTCAGCAATTCTGGGCAAACCCAGACTTAGTTCCAAAGAAAGGAAGTGGATAGGAAGGTCGAATTAGAGAAAAAAAAAGACGTGCTGTTTGCCAAATATTGTATGGGAACACAAACTCTTTTTCAATTGCCACAGGGGCAGAGCTCCCATCAGAAGTTTCATTGGACAGCAACAGTTCTCTAGACCCAAGCCATGTGCTGAATTGTGCCCCTTGGCTGTGAATGCAGGGCTCCCTTCTGAGCCCGGAGAAAACACAATAGTTTCAGCGAGTCTGGGCAAACCCAAACTCAGTTCCAAGGAAAGGAAGTGGATAAGAAGGTTGAGTTAGAGAAAAAAAGATGTGTGTTTGCGAAATATTGTATGGGAACACAAACACTTATTCAATTGCTTAAAGGAAACCATCAGGCCACCAACTGTTCAAGTGAAAAATGCTGTCTTAAGGAACAACATGGATCTGACATGCCTCATCTACTGAGCCACCTTAAAGTCTGCCAGGGATGAGTAGATGAGCCCATTGCCGTTAAGACACCCCTTGGGTGGACCTTCTTTGGAAATACGACCAAAGGACTGTGTGAGGCAATTAATATTAACTTTCTTGGAACGCACAAAGAACCCCCTTTTTGACACAAAGGGTTAAGCAATTTTTGGGAGACTGATTCTTATGTGACAAAACAAGCACCCTCCAAAATCGGGTTATCCCACGTGCATTGGCTATTTCACTGAGTAGCATGGTAAAAGAAAGAGGAAGTAGCATGTAGGAGACTGTGCCCAGCCCCAGAATACATATTATGGAATCAGGAGATCCCATGTGCTCATGAAAAAACAATCAGAGATTGATACTAGTTTACAAGGAAACTTGTTGTTTAGTTTGTGTGTGAGACTGAGCACAGTACATCATTAGGTGATCTCAACGTGACAGAGAACACTGTTGAAATGCCTGAAATTGTAAAAGAGATACAAATAGAGGTGAGAACAGCAACTTTTTGGCTAAGAAAAGTGAGAAGGGACACCTGGCGTTTACACAGGTCATAACAAAATATTTAGATGCCAAGGAACTTGGAGCTGAGGCATTGAAGAATCTCAGACGCAATAAAAGAAAAAGAGAAGAAACCGGTAACAGAGGATGCAAAGAGTGGACAAGAAAGTGACATAAACACCGAGCAGGTTGAGCAAAAATCTGCCATCAAGTTAAATACAAACATACCTACGTGTAAAGATACCACTAAGACCCCACCATTCAGGAAGGAATTTAAAATATCAGGACAGGTTGGAGATTCTTGTCAGAAGAATCACCTGAGTTTTGAACGGAAATGTATCAACTGCTTAGTTCTGCAGTACAGGAAGTGGGGGAAACCTCTTAGGACTTTTTTGTTCACCTCCCAGACATAAGACAGAAAGTACTCCTTGCCTCCTGAGAAGCAGGATCTGACTTAAAGTATGACCCTTGGCTGGTACAATGTGTGTTTCTGCATTCATTATTAACTGGGCTACAGAATTATAGCATCAAAATGGAGATAAAACCCTGCCTGCAAAACACCCAAGTAAAGGATGAAGAACTTTTTGAGAAATTGGATGCAGCAGTTAATAATGAAACAGAAAGAATGCAGAGGCCAGGTTCCCAACATGGCCAGCTCACAAACTGAGCCCCCACACAACTTGTAGCTCAAGGGACCACCCACAATGGTAGTGGAGCCTCAGTTGAAGATAAAATCCCAGAAAAGCCGCCAAAAGTTAACCTTACTGAAGTTAGAGAGTTGAAAACAGAACTGCCACTATCCAGGAAGGTATGGAACAACAAAGTCACAATAACCCCCACCTACAGTACAACCCTGCAGAACAAGGGAGGGCCTAGTTACCAATATCTAAAACCAAGCAGAAGGAGCTACAACTCAACAACCGCCTAGGGAAAAATGGGAAGCATTGCCCCAACAGGACAGGGAGCAGCCCATCAGATCCATGAGCAGTCCCAACAATGCATGAACTGTGGAAAGAGGGAGGACTGGGCATGTCAATACTTTCGCTGCTCACCATGCCATGGGAGCCATTCTTGTTCAAAAGTGTGTCAGAGGAAACAATGGGAAGAGCATAAAAAACTAAGTCAAGCCATCAGTGAGGTTGAACTGAGAGAGAGGGGAACAACAGCAAGTGGTGAAACTTTGAAAACATCATTCCCTTTCCACTTAACTCCAAGACAACGCTCTAAACTCATCAAATTAGTCGGAAGAAAATGCGTTGTTTCTTATGTGGTCCAAGGGAAGAGAGTCAATGCCCTGTGGGATACTGGAGCTCAAGTTTGTGTTGTGGCATAGTATTGGAACCCCCAAAGGATCGCCACCTTGTTGTGGTTGGCAGGCTTGAGTGCCTTGGAGACCCCTAGAGCTATGCCGGTGGGAGCTTTATCTACTGGTGGGGCCACATAAGCGACATTGCAAGCCAGGCAGAAGATGCAGCAAGCAGGAGAGAGCAAGGCAGAATCTACAAGATCACCAAGCTGGTGTATGGCAGGTACAGAGGAGGTTCTGACACTCCAATCATGAACAAGAAGGGGCGACTACTCATGACAGAAGCCGAGCAAGATGCACGATGGATGGAACACTTCAGTGAGGTTCTGAACAGACCACCACCACCACAGATTCAGATATGCAAGAGGTAGGGACAGACCTGGATGTCAACACCAATCCCCAGGAAAAGAGGAGATCATAGCAGCCATCAAGTCCCTCGAGAACGGAAAATCCTCTGGACAAGATAATCTCAGTGCAGAAGTGTTTAAAGCAGATCCACAGCTAGCAGACCTACTCCAGACACTCTTTACAGACATCTGGGAGGGGAAGAAGTTACCTGAAGATTGGACAGAGGGAGTCATTGTGAAGACTCCGAAGAAAGGTGCCCCCAGCAACTGCAACAACTGGTGAGCAATCACCTTACTATCTGTACCTAGCAAGATCCTGGCAAAGATCATCATCCAGAGAATAGCCAACACAGTGGACTAACAACAGAGAAGAGAGAGGGCAGGATTTCTGAAAGGAAAGGGATGCACAGACTAGATCCTCACCCTGTGCAACATCATAGAGCAGTGCACAGAGTGGCAGAAACAACTCTACATCAACTTTGTAGATTATGAGAAGGCTTTTGACAGCGTGCACCGGGAAAGTCTGTGGCACATCCTTTAGGCTTACTGTATACCACAGCAGATTATCAACATCATCAAAAGCTTCTACAGCAAATTCACATGGAGAGTACACAACAGCAAAACCAGGTTTGAAGTGAAGACTGGCCTCAGACAAGGCTGTACAATGTCGGCAATGCTCTTCAACATGACCATCAACTGGGTAATGAAGCGCACAATAGAAGATCAGTCACGGGGCATTAGATGGACCCTCTTCTCAAAGCTGAAGGACCTAGATTTTGCAGATGATGTAGCCTTGGTCTCCCATACTCACCAACACATGTAGGAAAAGACAACCCAACTCAGCACTTACGCACAGGAAGTTGGCCTAAAGATCAGCCAAAAGAAAACAGAAGTTATGCTGCTGAACGTGTCCAACCCTAAACCAGTTCAAGTGAACAGAGAAGACCTGTCAACAACTGAAGAGTTCACTTACTTGGGCAGGATAGTAAGGCATGATGGAGGAGCAGAGGGTGACATCAAGAACCGTTTCTACATGGCCAGAAACACCTTCAGAACGCTTAACAACGTGTGGAGGTCCTTTCAGTACAGCATCAAGACCAAGCTGAAGATCTACTAAAGCTGTGTGATGTCCACCCTAATATACGGCTCTGAATGCTGGAAGGTGATAGAGAGCGACATCACCAAGCTGTAAGTTAAATTTATCTAGCCAGTTGAAGCTGGAAAGAAATAAGAGGAGGAGGGATGTGGAACTAGGAGTGAGGAGACAAGTTATGAGTGGTAGCCCAGCGTGCTCAAACAAGGTAAAGTACAGTGAACTCCCCTAGTTGATTTAAGGCATTTGTCACATGAACAAACAGGAGATTTTCAAGATGTTGAGGGAAGAGTCTGGGGCCTTTGCCACAGAAGATGATGATATTGAATGTGCTGCACAATTGAAATTGGAGATCAACTTGAGGAATGACAACCCAGTTCAAAAACACACAATTCAATTCCCAAGCCCTTGTAGGAAGAGGTAAAGAAACACCTGCAGGATATGATCAATCGTGGATGGATAAGCAAATTGAAGTCACCTTAATCATTCCCAGTTGTGTGCGTGAGGGAAAAAGATGGCAGTCTGAGACTATGTGTCAACTATAGGCAGTTGAAATGCAAAATAGAGGATGACTGCCAGCCCATCCCTCGCATCCGAGACATCCTAAACAGCCTCAGTGGAGACACTTACTTTTCGGTGCTAGACCAAGGGAAGCCCTATGACCAAGGATTTGTAACAGAAGAACACTGACATCTCACAGCTTTCATCACCCCTTGGGGTCTATACCAGAGGAAACGCATTTGGTCTAAAAAATGCACCGGCTCTTTACCAGAGGTACATGGAGAAACACCTGGAGGACCTCCATGATGAAATATGTATCCCATACCTTAATGATATCCCACCTGGAGGACCTCCATGATGAAATATGTATCCCATACCTTGATGATATCCTAGTGTATAGTAGAACATTTTCTGAGCATGTAAACAATACCAGGGGAGTACTTAGACGTTTGCAGGAGTATGGTATCAAATTGAAGCCAAAGAAATGTGAGCTGTTTAAGCCTTGTGTTGGTTACTTGGGTAGAATAGTGTCAGCAGATGGCTTCACAATGGACCCAGCCAACATTGCAGCTGTGGCAGCCCTTAAGGAAACTACACCAAGAACTGTGGGTGCATTGTGCAAACTCCTGGGTTTCATAACCTATTTCCGCCGACATATTTGTGACTACTCCAGATTGGCCAAACCCCTTTATGAATTGCAATCAGCCAAAGAATGTGGTGACCAGTCCAACAAAGGCAAAGGAGGAAAGGAGCATCCCAAGGGGAAGTCACCGGCATCGAAAGGACAACTGTCATCAAATAACAAAATCGCATGGAATGAAGGCCACTTAGAATGACTAAACTTTCTCATCAAACTTCTAATGCAGCCTGGGCTAATGGCTTATCCTGAGTTTTAACGACCATTTGTACTGCACATAGATGCTTCAAGTGAAGGACTTGAGGAAGTGCTCTATTATGAACAAGGGAACAAATCGAGAGTTGTCGGCTATGGCTGCGGGACATTGACGCCCATGGAGCGCAATTGTCACTTAAACTCAGGGAAATTAAAATTCTTGGCCTTGAAGTGGGCAATTACTCACAAATTCAGAGATTACTTATTCTATTGCCCATTTTTTATCATCTTCACTGTTAATAACCTAGCAAGACCTATACTGATGCAGACATTATGTCCAGAATTCCATTAGACATGGACAAATATAAGAGATTGTACAGAGAAAGTACCCAAAGATGCCCTCCTCGCAACCCTGGATGCTGCAAGGGAGCAGGCAAAAGGCACAATCCCATGGGTTACAGCAATTGCCACTGACATGAAAACACCAGAACCTACGTTAAAGGACCTGAATCTAACACCCTTCAGCCCTAAGGAAAATCAGGGAGGCACAGGAGTAAGATAGTGCCATATGCCATGTACTTTACTGCAAGACATATGTGATTAAACTGAGCAGTAGCCAACTGAAGGATGAACTCCATGGTGTTATCAACCTTATAAGAGAATGGAAGAAGATGGAAGTTGAGGAACATAGTATTCTGCGATGAAGAACAAGTTCCAAGTTACGATTGGTTCTACCACACATCTTCATTCCAGTTGCATTTATAATACTACACACAGAGCTGGGATACCTCCGAATCAAGCAGCAGATCTTACAAGATCCCACTTTTACTGGCCACATATGTACCGTGACATAGAGTATTTTGTGACACAACGTTGCACATGAAAAAAATCAAACACAGTCACCACAGCACCCATGATGCACCTTATGTCATCAGCACCCTTTGAGCTGGTTTCCATTGATTTCCAGCACCTGGATAAGAGCAAAGGTGAATATGATTACTTTACTGAATATGTCCAAGCCTATGCAACACCCAACAACATGGCCCACACTGGTTCTAAGAAGATTTGCCATGAGTTAATTCCGAGATTTACTTTTCCAGCACACGTACATCATGACCCAGTTGGCTAGTTTGAGAACAAATTGTTCCACCACCTCCAATGCCTTAGTGGAGTTGCTACCTTGTGAACTACTCCAAACCACCCAGAGGGCAATGGCCAGGTAGGACGTATGAACTGTACCTTACTCTCTGTGTTAAGGACCCTCCCAGAGGTAAAGAAATCGTATTCGAAGGATTCTTAAACAGGCTTATACGTGCTTATAACTGCACAAGACATGACACCACTGGATTTTCACCATTTTTTCCTGATGTTTGGCTGTTCTCTGCGATTACTGGTCAACTTGTTGTTTGACCTGGGTGGCAACCTTAAACAAGGTATGAGACAGGCATATGATGTAGCATCGAGGAGTATCCAGCAATTGTTAGCCAGAGGTAAAGGATATTATGTCAGGAAGGCTTCTGCTGCAGTCCTACTTCCTGGTTATTGTGTACCTGTTGGAAACCTTTCAGGAAGGGAATCACCTGGAAAGCTTTGTTCACACTTGGAAGAGGAAATACATGTAATTCAGGAACACATATCTATCGACCCAGTCTATCAAGTAAAGCCCAAACATGACCGTGAGAGACAGAGGGTATTACAATGGAACTTATTTCCTCCTTGTGATGTTTTACCATTGTCTAAACAAATGAGAGTCTCGTCAAAGACCACCCAATTGCTATCTAGAGCACTACCCCAACCTGAAAACCCTGGAGAGAGTTCCTAAAATGAGTAGGAGATGGAAACATCATATCCTACAGTTACCCATGAAATATCTCGTCCAGTGGATGAAGACACCCCATCTATTACCCACATGACCACCGTGGCCTGGTGGATTGTACCAATATGGCAGATGGTAGGGATCAATCTGACCCACAAATGACTACTGGCCACTTACAGTCGCCAACTTCAGCTGGTCTAGATACAACCTACAGAGCCCCTCAGGAAAATGATGGATCAGATTCAGGGGAACATCTAAAGGGAGCTACACGATCTAGATGGGAGATCAGTCAGTTGGGAGTGCCCAAGTACCAACATCGAAAGCCAGTAGTTAGCTCGATTTAAAGCCCTCCACTGATACTTTCGTATCAAGTCTTGACCACCTGGTTTGTACCTTACAACACTTCACACTTTATTCCCTTTATTCCGCAGCTGCAGTATATACCACAGCCCACATGGGCAAACCAGTTCTGAACACTTTTTTAGTCACATCTGATTGTTCCAAGCCAGCTTGTTGTGCGCCTTCAGTGACCAAAGGCCCTTGCAAACTTGATGTCGTATCTGAACTGTATTAACTAGCTAGTTTATATAAAAAAACACATTTGAGATTGAGCAGAGTGCAACAAGGACACTATGAAACAGCATTGCTATGGAAACAAGACCTGATCCTGCCAAACAACGGAGTGGTGGATGTCTCGAGACTTCTTTCAACTGAGAAGAAACTTAAGAAGAACCCACAACAGGTGGAGAAATACCAGGAAGTCATAAACAATTATGTCAGTAAAGGAGAAATACTCAAAAGTCATAAATGATTGTCAGTAAAGGACAGGCGAGATGGATGACATCAGAGGAGGCTAAAGCAATGTCCCTCTAAACATGGTATGTACTTCACCATGCATTGTGGAACCCTACTAAACCAGGAAAGGTCCACAAAGTTTTTGATGCTACAGCAAAGTTTGACAGTGTTTCACTGAATGACAAGCTTCTGACTAGTCCCAACTTGTTAAACAGTCTGGTTGGAATCCTGATGAGGTATTCTTCTTGGAGCTCCTCCTTCTTGGAGTACCTCCTGATGATAAAGTTTTCTTCTTGGAGAAAGCTGATACGACTCTATGCCTGGTGGATGAGGCAAAGGTTCAACCTGAAGTGTAAAGGAAAGAGGTTAATTCTTCTTCCAGAGTGACAGACCAAGAATTTGAATGCCAATGATCTTAAAGAAGCCTCTGTTCATTGCAAAACAATGGGAATTTAAACACACTACCACAAGTCCACTCTACCTTCAGGCAAACAAGCTCATGGAGAAGTCAGTACAAACTGTAAAGAATCTGCTAATCAAAGCAAACCATGATCCCTATCTCGGATTACTGGGGAATAGTAACACCCATTGATGATGTCGCCTCACCAGCACAACTACTCATGAGTAGACGACTCAGATCAATCATCCCAACAACGGAGGCTCAGCTGCTTCCCGAAGTCCTCGATCCACAAAAAATAATGGAGACATTGAAGCAAAAATACTACTTTGATCAGCACATCCCACACCTGCCAGGCTTAGCGGAAGTTGACCCAGGTCAAAGAACGCAAGGGAAATTAGTGGGAAATAATGGTGGGAAAAATTGCAGGAATAGAAAGATGTTGATGAAACTATCTTGAACGAAACTAATGTACAGCTTGAATTACACACTCATGCGGACATTTTGTAGATCACTGAAAAAGAAATTAGGGGAGGTGTTTCAATGATCTCAAATCGCTTTGGAAGGGCAAATAATCCATATATGAATCATCACAACAATCCAACAATATATTCACTTATCTTAAAGCAAACAATCTGTGAGGTTGGGGATGTGCCAGCCGCTTTCTTTTAGAGGTTTCAACTGGATGACTAACTTTGACAATTGGCAAGGTGTCCTTTGCATCCACAAGGTGGCTCTTGAGTATCCTTGAACTTATCCTCGATAAGCTAGTCTTTTGGAAAATGAGCATCCTCAACATCAGCAAGACTCTGATCTGTGATTTTCACGACTAACTATATCGAGAAGTATGGTGACCATACAAAGCTTCTCTTAAAAGAACACTAGAAGCTTGAGGTAAGAAATTGAAACAGAAGAATTTTACATGGATATGAGCAGTGATGTTGTAGATAAGTTTAAAGATAAGCCAAGTGGTACGTAGAGAACTATGCAGAGACTGTTCTTACTTTAGCACATGCTTCTACAATAATTCACCGGTGAAGATATGTACATCACCATTAAGTGAAATTCGATACAGCAAGTACTTATGGAAAAAAACTTTCACGAATCTACTATAGCCCTGAACACTTGAATGGATTGCCTGTGTTTATACAGTTGGCTAACAAAGCTGGAGCATATGACAACATTGCAAAGCTTTGGCTGATGAAGAAAGCCATCTTGCAGATTTAATTAGCTGCCCCTAAACATATATATGCCAAGACCAACTCTTGATGTGCCATCCCCAAATGCAGTTCATCAAGCTTATCGTTTTTTTCCTTCTCATGACAGGCTACCAAGAGAGAGGAAAGTCTATAAATATACATTGAAAATTGTGTAAGTTGCAACCAGATTCAAGTTTGCAGAAACTCTCGTCTCAAAGGATACCACTGAGATCTCAAGAACTTTTCAGATAATTTATGTGTGTACCACACCCATGGCCTAATGTACTTCAAGTTGATCATGAGCATGAATTCATAGTGAGGTTACAAGGGAGATGGCAAAGCATGGTGTAAGGAAAAAGAAAAGGAAATTTGAATGTCCAGAGGGATCAGGGAATCATTCAGCACTTTAATTTATTTTTAGGTGTGTCTCTTCACTTTCCCATACAGCCCAGAGATGAATTTACATCTAGAAAGAGATCAACCAAATGGGTGAATGAATAGTCAAGGGACCAGGTTAACTGAAAAGAAACCTGTCCACACAATCAAAGACAAGGTGGTTGACGTCAACTACACTTTTGAAATGCAACAGACTTTTCCTGATAAACACATCGCTCTTTGGGTGTGTAGTAGTTAAGCTCTCTATGTAGTATGTAGATAACTATGCAGAGAATGTTGACACTTGCACATTCTTCTAAAATAATTCTCTGGTAAAGATATGTACATCACCATTGAGCGAAATTTGATACAGCAAGTGCCTATAAAACATCATCCTCTCAGAGTATACATACTTTAGCTCT